ACATATAGTAGGGGATATGTACATTAGAAATTAATCCCCAGCATACTATTGTAAGTCGGAGACTCTAAGTTACCCCTGCAAGTCAAATACAGTAGGAAGGTGCAAATGAATCAAAAATTGCAGTCGCACAATTTATTATTGTCCCAATGTCCTCACGAGTTTACAGTCTTCAGTTTTCACAGAGCACAAACACAGTATATATGTGAACTAATACACGAAACAAAAAGTAATCCCGACAAAATTTGCGATTGCTCACGAGGGATCCGGCTGAATAGGTCAATGAATTTAATATTATTTACCCAAACCAAAATATAATCATGTGAGAACATTCGATACACGGCTTCTAAATGTTTCTACAATGTCAAAAAATTTGTCGTTAGGGAGTATAAAAGCAGCCACCGAACGGAATCACGGTGCCATTAGCCCTTCAATCGTATAAGAAAGCGATTCGGCCCAGTCAGCTTTCAGGAGAAGTGTTTGTAACGTATGCATGACATCATAATCTGGGTCGAGCTTCCGTTGCCAGCCCTATGAGCCAAAAGGGTATAATGTATTTTCGCATTAAACAAGATAACAAGAGACCATATATAATCATGAAAAACTAGCTTTATAAGATAAAAGTGTTTGGTAAAATTATGAAAAAATAAAATAAAATTCAATGGAGTTATTTGAAAAGCTACCCAATGAAGTTTATGAGATAAACTCAAATGTTTTAAAAAATCTCGTCCTACCAAACCAAGCTTATTTGAATACAGGAAACTTATAAGCTAATTGAATAAGCTACAAGCTATAGCTATATGCTTACCAAACACAGCCATAATCATAATCATAAGGAAAATGCATCTGATAAATCGAGAGAATTGTATACTCGACTGTATTCAAGCACTTCAATGTCTCACATATTTGCCTAGCTTTGTGTTCCATTATAACGGATATATATCGTAAAACACTTACCTCGAGCACCAAAACTGTGACCATCACGGTGCAAACATTGCCATCAACATTTACTTTATGACGGCGGACCTGCTCCAGTAACTGCTGCATGCATTCAGCAGGATGCACCAAATCACCTTCCGCTGTACCCCAAAAATCGAAAGATTCTTTCACTTCCTGTCAAAAAGCAACCACCATAATGTTAACAAAAAAAATAGATGAAAAAATGATATTTTTTTTACCCCAAACTCGGAAATAAATGTCAGATAACTAACCTGAATGAAAGCCCCCGGGTCTGGGCAATTTTGTCGTTTTGATAATCTTAGTGTGCACTCCGCTGCAGTTTGGCCATCTCTACGAGCAACGGCTTTGAAAAACTCCAGTAAATTCACACGGTCATTCTTAGAAAGCTCGGCAGTCATTCCCACATCGAGGAAAATCAAGTGGGGCTTGGTCTTGAAGAGCTTTTTGCGAGTTGGCTTTGTCTGAGCCACACGGACAAGAATGTTTCCTGGATGCATGTCGGCATGGACAAAGTTGTCTACCTGAAAAGTAAATAAATAAATAAAAATCATCAGGCATGAATTTTACCTGTTGCTAATCATTGGTAAAGCTGTTTTCTCACATTTATGCTTCAGTGGGGCATATATAGAAAAAACAAAAGAGGCATCAATAGTGTTCTAAAACAGAGACATTGGCACTTGGCGATGAGGAAGGAGAACTGCTTAGAATCAAACTTCAACTGCAAATAATAATCACTGCAAGAAGCGACTTTTTTTAACTCTTTATACCAAAATCACAACTAAGCATCCATCTATTTAGAATTGACCCTCTTTTTCTCTCTCTTTAACTGCCTACCCTATTTCAGTTTTTCTCTCTCTTAAGTGCCATTTGATGAAGGAAGCCCTAGGTCCCAATGCATAAGCTCCGAAATTTGTTAAATGGAATAAGACAACATCATGTTACAAAAATAAGACATAAATGGACTATATTGTGATGTCCCACTAAGCCCCATGGCTTTTACTAAACAAATTTATGAACCAGACCATAAAATGCCTTCCATTGATTCAGTTGCCAACCTAGAACATGGAACAATATTAAAAAAGGATTACTAAGTCAACAACTAGCTTAGCTATGTCACAAAGTGATGAATACTTGATCAGCCCTACCAAATTCAGTTCATTTTTAGGATTACCACCTCATACTGTATAAGGGACAAGCAACCAATATATATGTGTGTGTGTGTATATATTATACATATCGAGAGAGAGAGAGAGAGAGAGAGAGAGAGAGAGAGAGAGAGATACCAGAAGCATCTTTAGCAGGGCATGAGTCCCAATGTGAGCCAGAGCACTATTAACCCGATCATTCCCCCTGACCTCATCCACATAATGCGAAACACTCTCCCCGTGCTCGAAAGTCTCAACCAAGACAGCCGGATGAACCAATGGATACACAGGCTTAGGGAAAGACACGTCCCTCCACCTCCTAAAATTGTATATGAACCTGCTCAGATGAGCCGCCTCCCGAGCAAGGTCAACCTGGGACATCATGAACACAGCAAACTGCTGCGCGCTCTCGTCCAGCCTCAGCCAATTCAAGGCAGGCACAAACTTCGACATCTTTGCAACCACATTAATTATATCGAAATCCCTCTTTATGGATTCCCCAACCCCCGGATGCCTCACTTTAACCGCCACCAGCATGGGCTTGGCCCGACGGCCTCTGTGCCGAGTCCGCAGGGTAGCACGGTGGACCTGCGCAATGCTTCCGGAAGCAACGGGCTCCTCCTCAAAGTCGTCGAATATTTCCGAGATTTTACGGCCGAAAGCCTTTTCAATCATCTTTTTCGTGTAGGCAAAGCTATGCTCGGGTGCCTTCATGTGGAGCTTTGACAGCTCGGAGCACAAGTCCCTCGGAAATAGATCGGGCCGTGTGGCGGCCCACTGGCCCCACTTTATGAATGCCGGGCCTGCTCTCTCCAGGGTGTGGTGAACAATCTGAAGCCAACGTTTTCTAAACTCGGGCCCGAAGCTATCTGCGAATGGGGCCATGGCCATGCAAGGCGTGAACAGAACTGCCAAATGAAGAGCTCTAAGCAGCAAGAAAATGCTGTCGAACACGGAACGTATCAATCTGGTTATAAAGAGATGGCTATCCTCAGCAGCGTGCATGTAGAAACTACTCCTCGGCTGAAAGATATCTGTTTCGGTGGCGGATTGTGCCCAAGCTAAGGTGCTCCCGCACATGAGAGAGAATATGCCGGGAACCACTATGTAAGAACGGGCCAAGCCCAAGCTGACTGCCTGGGCTATTCGGTTTATGGGCAGACGAGCCCGCCCGTTGCGTGCAGAGAGCTGAGCTAGCCGATTCCAAGCAAATCGAGCATGGTGTGCCATGGAGTAATTGGTAGTATCAACTGAATAACGCCTGATGCAACTATTGTAGAAGCCACTTTTCCCCACTCCGAACGTTGCATTATAAGCGAGTCTTTTGGTGGGGAGCAGGTAATGAGTGAGTAGTCTATATTGAGGCGAAAAAAGCCAGGTTTTAATAGCGCCTCCATATTTAGAACCTTCTGAAGAGATGCTAAGCTGTTTTGTCCATAAAGATTTCGACACTCTCCTACTGTTTCTAGTTAGTAACCTGCATTTAAGGTGGTATATGTGTAACTAATCAAGACCCAAATATTATCTATTTCCAACACCACTACCAACACAACACAACACAAAAGATTCAAACCGCACATATAATTCAAAAAACGTAAAACCATTAGTGCAGAAGCTATGCCAATCAGAGCCCCACGATTAACTATATAAAACAAATCCCTTAAAAATCTCCATCAGCACACAATAGAACAAAGATTGAGCTGCTAGGAAACCACAAAACCAGGTAAGAATAAGAAAATCGTGCGACTCTATAAACTATTCACAAGATAACACAACAGCAAAAGAAACAAAATAGAAAACTAACACCAAATGATTGATAGACCGAAGAAAAATACAACAATGGAAACAAAACCACACACACACACAAAGAGCAGAGGGCGAGCTTTAACGGACCTCGACATGGCGAAAACTTGAATTGGGATGCACGCAAATCGACTAACGAGCGGCGGGGACGAACAAGCATCTTCTACGGATCAACGGGTGTCCCACCATATGGATCACACACAATATTCAAGATTTACCTCAATGAAAAACGAAAACAACCAGTAACACCTCCCCGTCGACCACGATTTCGCACCAACACAAACAAGACGGAAAATGCAAAAACTAGCTGCAGAAAATTCTCAAGATGTATCTGAGATGGGTTACAGATGAAAAACTGATGCAAAGGCGGCGAGAAATGAATGGGGGAAGAGGAAGAAGAAGAAGAAGGGATTGAGGGTCGGACCCCTTTGTGCCCTACGGTTCGGTAATTTGGTTCGTGAGGCCAAGCGGCTCGGACGTGTAATGTAAGCGTCCATTTGTTAATTCTTCTTACTTTTTTGCCCTATTTTTTAAATTTCATTGAGGTTAAAATAAGGAATTTTATAGATTTTTTTAAGATTTTTACTATTTAGGTTTGATTCGTTAAAACTCAAATACACAGGTCAAAAGTCTGGGCTTCTTTATTTGATAAATTTAGCCTGGAAACAAGTTTGGTTTAAGCTCGACTAAACAAGATAAAGATTCGTGCGCGAGTTTGAGTATTAGACGTTGAATCTCATCTCGGTTCGGCTAGGCTCGACTCGAGCTTCAATCTGAAAAACTTGGTCTCAATTCAACTCGACTTTATAAAAGTTCGATTTTTGTTCAACTAGTTTACGCTTCTAACAAAACAAATAAATAAAATATTTTCACCAAACTCATTTTGTGAAACCTAGAGTATTTCTAATTAACTAGAACCTTTTTTAGTTGTCACTAATTGAATGGGTGATATTTTTTTCTTCTTCACAAAATTAATGAAGATTGGCGGTCCATTCTTAAGAGGTTGACTTTTGACTTTATGGAGGCCCGTATACAAAGTATGTGGAGCTTCCATAGCCAATTATATATATTGTAGTTGGGCTAAATAATTCTATATTCTATTGATTAAACTATC